ATATATGCTTTAATATAATAACTTCTTTTCCTATGGTTAGTGATGTTATAGGACAAATTTCTGGTGAGGAGGAATACATTATTAAAGCATTACTGAAACTAATTCTGATAACACAGAATCTGCAGATTGACTTCAATCAGCAGCATTATGAGTTTAAGTCGTGCTTATTTTTTCTGTAATGTAATAAAACATCATCCATTAAGAAAACTCACCTGTGTGAGCTGCCTGGTTTGCTAGGACATTGTCTACTGACATACTGATAATCTCACTGTCATAGACGGCTGTTTTATACAAAGAAGGCTTACAGAGCAACATTTTAAACCACTTTAAAGTGATTTAAATAAGGTTTCAGTGGCAATTTCCGGAGTGGAAACTGAATCTCAAGATAGTTTCAGGATTATCTAAATTACTCTTGATGGGTATTTTAGTTAAAGACATCATTAAAATGGCGGTAGTCAGTAGACCACTGTAATATACCAAACTTCTTTTTCATGACACATGCTTTGACTTTTACCAGAAAAAAAAAAACACCACAACCCCAAAAAAACCAAAGCACTTAGACAGTTTTTTGTTTTCCCTACAGTGACATACAGTATGAAAATGTGCTCTGTTCTGATCACATACTGCTTTTTTTTTACCACTGTAAGATTCACAACCTTAAACTTGTTCATCCACAACATCCACAATCCAAATCTGCATAACAGTATTTAACCACTACAGGAAAACCTTTAGCCAAAAGGTAAGGATTTAAACATGGGCTGTTTAATTTCTTGGAATTTGGAAACAGCAGTTTCCAAACAGCAGCATAACAATTTCCTAAGCTAAATTGTTATGCTGTCAGTTGGGGCTGTGAGATATATGTAAATATGTATATGTATGTATGTATAGATGTATAGATAGATAGATACACACTCCTTGCTGAGTGTAATGAGACAAACCTGGGACAAGTCTGACTGCAGGAGCAAGACCAATGTGTCAACCTCAAATTACTATTTAGTACCTCAAAAGGTAGCTACTTCAATAATCTCCAACAAAGCACAAAAGAAGGAAAGAAAGCTGTTCCCGCTTTAGATAGAAGAAACAATCTTGTTTTCCCACTTAAGACAGAAACAGGCCACTGAGTACAACCAAGCTACAAAGAAAGATATACCAGCACCTAATGACGTGTGACTCAAAAAAATCCCTCCAATTACCACTGTTGTAGCCCTCACTAGTTCACATGAAGAGCAAAAGATGGACGTAAAATTGCACGGCGGAAAAGCTGGGCGTTTCGCATTCTGTTAAAAAGCTCAACACAGGAAAGATCATCAAACGCAGAAAATATTTTCTAGTTTTATTATCTGACGATGCTGTGCAGTTTCTGAAGCGTTAGAAGGTTCAGATACTTTATTTACTGTTAAGCTAAAGTGTTATTTTATACTTTAAATCATATGCTGTGCCACTGGGTTTAAAGCTGCTGGCACCTTCTTTCAGTAATCACTCTTGACAACAGCTAATTGGAAAAGGATAGAAAATATCCCTTAAGTTACATACATGAAATGCTACTACCTGAATATCGTGATATAATTTGGGGGTTATATCACCCACGCGTAAATTGCCAACACATGAGGCTAATCCAGCGGTAGGCAGCTAAATATTGTTTTGCACTTGCCGTAGCTTCTGTCGCTAACACTAGCTTGCTGTCAAATGTTGGCTCGGTTGACAAGAAAGCTAGGGTGGCAACTGCAAGGGCTATCGGTACATTTACTGATTTACCTCTAACTAAAGCTACGGTAACACACGCCTGGACATTTTACACTACACATAGCTATATGTGTCTAGAGGCCTTTAGTCAACGCAATGATTTGTTATGATTGTACAAACGCAGTCGTTAGCATGTCTACGCAGTGGGTTAGTTTGTTTCTGAAGCACAGAAGGAACCAAAACAAGCTCAGTGGCGTGGGGTAATAGTGGGGCAGAAATTTTAAACTAATGTGATTCACATTTGCCTTTTACTACTGCTGTAGGATTCGCAAATATAGTCCAACTTGCTGTAGTCTTGCCCCAGTGCGCGTCATCTATAATCAAAATACCGCTCACTCACTAAAGAACCGGGGTGGGCAGAGTTCATAATCGTGCATATATCCCAAAACACCAAAGCTAACTTTAGGCTGGCTAGCTAGCAAGCTTGAACTTATTCTATCCAAACCAACGTCCGTCAGTAGTATTTGTCCCGGCAACCAATTAAATATTTCTACAAAGACATATGAAGCTGGACTCACCTAAAAGAAAAGCAGTAGAAAACAGAATCTGTGCTTGTAACAGTGGCTGCTAAAGCGCTGCCAGTGGTAATGTAATGAGAGGTGGAAACACACGCTTGTAGGAATGGCGCGGGGAGAACAGCAGGCGCGTGTTGATGACGTAGGATCAGCGGCAGGCTGCTTCATCATGAGTAAAGAGAGCCAATCGCTGTTTAGTATACTGACACCAAAAATCTGGCTGCTGAATTTTTGTATTTTGTTTGTTTGTTTGTTTTTGTAGGAAGTATTTTAAAGTTAAAGTCCTGAACTGGAAACCAGTGAAGTTACTTCAGTACTGGGGTAATATGTTCAAATTTCAATATGCCTGTAAGGACTCTGGTCACTGTATTCTGAACAAGCTGAAGTAATCCTACTGATGATTTGGCAAACAGATCATTACAGTAGTCTAGCCTGCTTGATATGAATGCATAGACGAATTTTTCAAAGTCAGTCTCAGAAATATATTTTCTAACTTTTCATACACTTGTTAAGTGGTAGAAAGCTGTTCTGGCGACCTTATTTGTATAATTATCCAAACTGAGATCACATTCCAAAAATAATGCCAAGGTTCCTGACTTGCTCACTGTGTTCAGAGAGAAGAAGATAAACATGGACAAAATTCTGTTTCTGACATTTTTGGTGCAATCACAAATATTTCTTTCTTGTCTCTGTTTCTATACACCCATCAGTTAATGTTATCAGTGCAGCTTATTAAACTGTGAACAGTAGTTAGATGATTAAAGAAAATAAAAAGCACAACTGTGTATCATCTGCATAAGAATAGTAGGACATATTATTATTCTTTTTGATAGTGCCAAGCACATACTACAGGACATTTTAGTATCTCGTTTAATATATCTAGTCTATTTAGACTTGCATAGAGACCATGCATTATTCAGATATACAGTTTCATGATTACTTAAATTCCTGATTTCCTTTAATTATCTTTTTTCCCCAGTTCAGTACATTAGTTCTAGTACGTTTCCAGGGTGGGCTTTCTCATTTCAGTTCAGTTTTTGTTTATTTGCTTGTTTGTTTGTTTGTTTGTAAGTCCCAAAAAGTTGATTCTGTTCATCTGGACATGGCGTTTTCAGTGGAAAAAACATTCTGTCACTCATCCAAGTGATGTCTTCAGTCTTAGCAATTTCCCTACCAGGATGATTGAGCATGCATCAAGACGTTTGTTTGTAAGTTTCTTTTTTATATATAATTTGACAATATGGTCAGTTTTGAGGGGTGATGCAAACACAGCACTTTGTGAAGGTAATTGGCTTTGTAATATAAAATTCAATAAATAGATCAGTTTGATTTTAAGTATATATATATATATATGTACCAAAAAAAATCCAAGTCCAGCCAGTCCTGTTGACATCTCTGATCCCTAAATGTGGCTTGTATTCAAGGAATTCTCTAATCTTGCACATGGCATGTGGTCATTCACTGGGGGGAAAGGCATAACCCGGAGTACACAGGATAGTTATCTATTTTGAGTGTAGACGAGTTTATCTTCTCACATAATCTCGAACTGCTTGATTTAGATTTTCTTACCACTAGGTGGCAGAGATATTTCAAAGCAGATGTACAGGCACGCAGGCTTTAGGTTATCAGGTCAGAATCTTGACCAATGTATAAATGAAAACTGCTTATTTTAAAAACCTGGAAGTTATACAAGACAAAGTGGGCCGCATTTCTGTCAGTCTATCATCTGTGACACCAGAGATAAACAAATCATGCAATCATGGATTTATGTTGGCTCCCAAGAGAGTATTCATTCCTCTCTGTGGTTTACCACACATTAAGTATTATGCATTCACTGAATAATGATCATATCAAATAAATATAGTTTACCACATAAAGCAACCTACTCAGTGCAAGACACCAACTGACTAAATGTGCCCTATTTCAGTATTTCTCAAAATCAGAGTAACTTGGTATTTGTGTGGAAAATGCTGGTCAAATAGCCTTTAATGTGTTCTGGGCAATAAGCAGACATATTACAGACATATCACTTAAGTATCTGAGAAAGTACAAGTACTGTGAGAAAGTAGTTCGCCTTTTTGCACATAGCCCGTTGTCAGGTGACGTGCAGAACATGTTTTTCCACACAGTTATCTAACTGTAAATTATAGAGACACTAATCCCTATCAGTCTTCGTTTGAATTTCGGTGGCATTTTGCCATTTCACTGAAGGCTGTGCATTAGCTGGGATAACCTACAATTATGGTACACATGTCAAGAAAAAAGCTTTCTAGACATTATAACGACAAGAAAGATGATCACTTTTGACAAACAATGGATTTGTTGATACAAATAGAATAGAAGAGAAATATCCTTTATTGTCCCTCGTTGGGAAATTCACGTGTTCCAGCAGCAAAGTGAAAGGCAGACAGAACATGCAGATTCAAGTAAAGAATATCAAGTGAAAAATGAGAAATGACAATTTTATAAATACTTGATCAGACATTGCAGCGCTAAAGGTGAGTGAGACTTTTTTTTCAATGAAAATGAAGTCATAATGCAGCTGCTCAGAACATGATCAGATTTAATTACACATTTAGCACTCTTCCATACCTACCAGCCTAAGTTTGTGTGTGTGTGTGTGTGTGTGTGTGTGTGTGTGTGTGTGTGTGTGTGTGGGTGTGTGTGTGTCTGACTGTCTGTGCGGATATTGAGATGTTCTTTAAATGGGAGGGTCCTGTTCCTCGTTCCCTCTTTGTGTCAGTCTTTCCCGCTGAACAAAAACGTTTCTCTCACAGACTCACAGACGCTTGAGTCCTGAGCCTTCTGTACCAGAGAAGCATGGATTTCATGGAACTCTTTTTCATTTCTCTTGGTACTGGAGTTGTGGTGTACTATGGAGTGAGGCTACTGCTTTTCAGTAGGATGCTTTTTCCAAAACTGTGGTTTCCACTGCCAAAAACTTTCTTCACCTCAATGGGAGAGTGGGCAGGTGAGCAGCATGTTTATGCATGTCCACATGTATGCGTTTGTGCTGTGCGTGTCTGTGCCATGTGTAATGAATACCATACAATCTTCAGTAGGTCATGCTATGATAAATAAATCCTGGAACTTCAGTAGGTTATGTAGTATCAAGCCAACACAGGTGTCACGTTTTGTGATACAACACTACATTTATGTGTATACTGTATGTAATTAGAACAGAATCTGCAAGTGCCATGAACACTAAGCAGTGAAAGTGATTTAGTTGATCAACTTGTGTGTAAAAGTGCATTTAGTAGATCACAATAGGGTGAGTCCTCTGCCCAAACTTGTTTTAACATTTCATCGTTACACAAGATTGCGCTTGTGTGCTGATATACCCAAAGGAGGCAAGTCCCGACACTTAAAATACTTCTTTTTTTATATACTTGCAGGGCAGCTGATATATGTACAGAAAACACAATTCAAATTCAATATCAAAATGTATGGAACATCAAGCATAAACTGCATGTTTTTCACATAACATCCATTCTGAGATGAGCAAAATGATCTGCGTCATCATAGCTGACATTGGAAAAAAGCTGCATAACGACAGGTCATACCTGCGTGACTAGTTTAACAGGAAGAACTTGGTACAGTACAGGGAGTCAGAAATATTCCTCTACTTTACCACACTATAGCATACTCTTCCGAAAAATGTAAAGAAACTATAACAACTTATACTCAATTTATTTTATACACAATTATATGCAGTGATAAGCTCACTGACAAAATGCACCCTATTACATTAATTTTCAAACTTCAAACTAATAATTTAGATTGGCATGTAGTTGTGTAAAAAGGACTGTTAAAGTGCAAATTATGATATGCAAATTATACATGCAAACTGTTTCTAATTAAGAATAGGAAAAACATTTTCAGATTTCAAGAACAGACAAGTAAAGCCAAACCTTCGGGTTGAAAACGGCAAATTACTGTTGAAGGTTTGATTTAAACCAATCATGTTTTTCAGTGTTTTCCCAAAACATTTTACCCTGAAGTGTTTTTGTAGTGAGTGGATATACAGGATTAAGAATAATAAGCAGGAAGCTTTTACATTCGAAGTGGGTACAACAAATCTAACTGAAACACTCCAAATGAAACTACAGAATAGAGTCAACTTAAAGGCGGCTGAGGAAATGAGCAAATACTGGCTCTCTTGTCACTCTCCTTGTGACATTCCTCTGCAGGTCCAGAAGCAGTTTCATTCACTCAAGAGGTTTGCTTTGGCATCTTCTGAAGGGGTTATTCTCTCACAGTGCTCAAAGAAGCCTGATAAAAACACTGGGCTGATCTTGCTTTTCTTCCCAAAGCCCACTTTCCTTCCCACTTTCATTCCATTCCGGCACAGAGGAATAACATCTGAACAGCATGTCCTAGGCTGCATAAATGACACCCCTCTCCAATTATTTCTCCCAATAATTGGAAAGCCCCATTTGTATCCCTCTTCAGACCTTTTAAACGTTTTTAGTTTCAAGAAGCCTAAGCGGTGTTGTGCATGTGCATGGATCTATTGATAACAAAGAATAAGTTACTCAAATGGTAATGCCCCATTTTTTAGAAGCTCACAAATAATTAGGACAATTGACTATTTCACTATCAGGTGAGGCATTTTCTTTTTTTATTTCATAATAATTAGGCAGATAAGAGATGTGGGCTTTTCAAATATAAGTGCTGTACTTGTATTTGGTAGCTGTCCACCAATAAGATGTCAGTACAAGTGAAGGAGGGAATCACTAGGCTGAACAACCAAAACAAGCTTGCCAGAGAGACACTAAAAATGCAGGAGCTCAGCAGCACCCAAACACAACATCTAATCAAGGTAAGAACACTTTTAAGGTGGTAGGTGAATCATCATCAAGAGGTACAATCAAGAGATGCTTTCATGAATGTAATTACAGAGGATTTACACCGAGATGCAAATCACTGGGCATACTCAGAAACAGTAAGGCCAAAAACATCTAGCAGAGCCTGCAAACCAGATAGATGAAACTCAACTTAACTTGTACCAGAACGATAGCAAGGGAAACTGCTCGCGATTTGAAGCATACCACCTTATCTGACAAAGATGGTAGGGGCATTATTACGACATGTGTGTGTATGGTTCTAATTGTGAGTGAATCACTATTGTTTACTGATAATGTGACTGATAAATGTAGAAGGATGAATTATTTAGTGTGCAGGGCTATACGCTCTGCTCAGATTCAGCCATGTGCTGCATAACCTATCAGGCAGTGCAAATAGATAATGATCCAAAGCATACTCTTCAATAGACAAATAATTCATTTGATATTAGTCAAATAGAGCATGTTTTTTAGTTACTGAAAATAAAATCTGAAGGTAGCGAGAAAAGCAAACTGAATGTAGTTGCAGTTAAGGCCTGAGCAAAGCATTAACATCTGGTGATGTCCACAAGATTTCAATATAACTTAAAATGATCTTAGTTTGTCCAGCTTTTTGAGTTTCTAAACACAGGGAACAATGCACAATGACGACTGTAATTCCTAAAAGTTTTGTTAAACCACTTGAATTGAAGATGAAATTCTGCCCTTAAATCACATTTATGTTATTTGATTTAAAATCCGCTGCGCTGGTGGGCAGAGGCAACATTGCAAACACTGTGTCTAAACATCCTTCAGTATTTATTTACTCAAATGGTAAATGGTAAATGGCCTGTATTTGTATAGCGCTTTGCACATCCAGTCACCCACCCATTCACACACACATTCACACACTGGTGATGGTAAGCTACTCAACTCTGACAATAGAGTACAATGAACCCCCTGTCACATATTAAAGTGAAGTAACTGTGGCGAGCTTTGTGAGACCACACAGTTTTTGTATAAAGTGGACAAACATGGCACTTAGAAACACTGTTAACAATGGGGACAAATAGACTTTCTATTCCCTTGTTGCCCTTGTTGAGTGCATAGGCTCAACATTAATTTAATATTGGAAAATGTCTTAAGTTGGCTTACAGTTTTACTATCCTGCTGGCTTTTAAATGACAGTCTTTCTTGCTGCATCACTCTCACACAACAGCACATTTGTCTTTGAAGAGAAGCCTCCACAGGCTGCTGCAGTTCACAGAGCTCATTTGCATAAAGGAGAATGTCACAGTCATGTCTGGTTTCAAATTATTTTGGGCATGTTGATTTTATTCAGTTTGTCACAGAGGAATCCAATTTTTTTTTATTATAACCAAATGTTATATAACTACATAATGCTGTGTTTCTTCACTCTCAGAAAAATAATGGTTCTTAAATGGTTCTTTTTAAAGACTCTATGGTTCTTCAAAGAACATTACCAGCTAAGGACCCTTTTAATTTATGAAAATGTTGTTTCATATTTTTCATTAAATATCACAAATAGATTTTAAATATATTGTAGTGGGCTAAGGGAAAGGGCCACTGGCTAGAGGACAACTTAGAACACGTATATCTGATGTTAACGTGTTCTAAGTTGTATTGTTATAATGTCAGTTACAGTTATCAGGTGTTGATTTGCCATTTTTGTGTTAGTGTGTAAAATTACAGCTGCTGTGTTTTCTGTGTTTGGTGTGGCCAGCGGAGCACCGTGAGTTAGACCGCTGTGTCCGTTTACCACTTTTCCCTGCTGTGGTGTATGACGGAGCGATCCTGTGGCTGTGCTCTCTGTAGTTTAGTATCACAGCTAATGCAAGAATCCAGTCGTTAATTGATGACGTGACGAATCCTACTTCCGGGCCTATAGTAGTCTGCGTTTAATATGGCTTTTGTGTTGTTAACATGTTTAATATTATGTATTTTTTTCTATTTAATCTCAAAAAGCTCCTAAAACAGTCAGTGATCACTGTTGACCTCCCTCGGCTTTTATTACC